CTTTATTAATAATAGAAATAAATTATTGTCAAATGTCAATTTTTACATCAAATTACAGTCTCATTAATGATTTTCTAGCCATTATCAAAATTTCTTGTAGATGCAAGTACAGTAAAAGCTTATAATTTTTCTAATAATTACATTTAAATTATTTCATATTATTAGGGAGGAGGGGAACTCGTAAGTGTTTGTGATTTAGAATCTGCCTAGAGCAATTTCACAGAATTGCTGTAAATTAATAAAAAGAGTTGCCAACTACAATGAATTAAAAGTGGTCTTTCAACCAACCCTCTGAGCTGAACCTGCTAATTTCTCCATAAGCTTCTCTGTTTCCAATTTTTCTTGTCTGGATGCATCATCTTCTCCGATTTGTCTATCAAGGTTATTTCTCACCAGGTTCAACACATAATCTTTGGTTTCTTGGTAAATGACAGTGCCACATTTGGCACACAAAGCACCTAATACCTCACCTGCAGCCAAAGAATTCAATATAAATATTTATTTCACTTGTAACTGCGATATGAATGCCATGTGAAGTGGTGAAAAAAAAGCACACATACCTGCAGACATTCTTACTCTTACTTCAACATCTGTCAAAAGTCTCTGAGAAGAGCACTTTATTTTTTGAATGAATTCTTCTTCATGTTCATCATCAAGATTCACAAAAGGAACAATGCACTTTGCACCCATAAGACATCCATGTTTTGTTTCCCATGAACTGCTGCTGTCACTCAGAAGATTGATCAGTTGGAACTCAGCATTAATCCTTTCTGTATCCATACAGGATGGCAACAACCTTTGCAGCTCGCTCACACCTTTGTCACGATCCAATTTCATAGAACTGCACAACAAATTGATAACATCAGCCATTATTCCAGAATTTTGTAATTCTTTGAAAGGCAAGTGACAGCTCCTCCCAGTTCCTTTTGACGTTTCCTGCAGGTGGTTTTTAAATACGAGTTCCTTTCTATCCACATACACACCAAAACTCACTACTAAACAAGCATTTCATTTCCGAACTACTCTAACAATATCATAAAAACACACTATGTGAAGATTACAGCATCTCACACCAAAGATATTGTTTCCCATTACTTATGGAATACCCTATACTGAACAAATGAACACGCCCCGCAAGGCACACAACAGTTGAAATGCGCAGAGCGCGCACGCGAAAGAAGATGTCGGACTTGGAATGTTTGTGTGCAATTACACCCTTTCTCAATTCAAGATTAATAACAGTTTCCATTCCTTTCTACTGAATGTGTGAGTTTTTTGTACCGTTTTTGACGAGAAGTTTCAAGAGCAATGGTTGAAGTGGACGACGATTGACTTTAGTAGGTTATTTTTGAATACATCCCTGCCTGACGTCACTGACAGTGTTTTTGTTGACTGAAGATGTTACGAGCGGAGATGTCGTTCGAATGACCGAAAATTGGCAGTATGAGTGCAGCATTCGTGTGAGGAGGTGAGTTGGAAAGCGAAATTCACTTAACGAAAGCATGCTGCTGAAGTGCGACTGTCATTGTGTGTACTCCGTGCGTTGAGGTGAAGTGTATGTTATAAGTGGCTTGTGTGCTGTCCATACTTCACTGCGAGCGGCTGCAATGCAGTAAACGTGAGTGATACTGTACAATGCTTTTATTTGAAATGCATGCATATTTTGTGTAATTTCTAAATTTATTTTCGTCTTATTTTTATTGGCTGTTTGATTAAAGTATTCAGAAATTTCTTTGGACAGTGTGAACCGGACGGGATAAGTAGCCATATTTTAATTCGAAGTACATGTGTTTCATGACAGAATCAGCTTGAACGGGACACGCTATGGGTAGAAGCATCATTGAAACTGCAATGATGTTTACAGAATTGATATGCATTTTCTGATAAAAAGCTCAGCGGGTGCATGTTTACTGCGAAGTGAGTTTGGTGGTACTGTCTGGCAACACTGGGTCGTTTTGTTGACTTACCGAAAGAGGTTGGAGGGCAACTTTGGAGGTCATATTTGGAAGACCAATTTTTGTTACTAAAATCTTCCCTTGTATTCTTTTTCAAGAATTTGAGTTCAGCTGTTTTAGATGTAATCTAGCTTTGGTGCTGTTTAGCCCGAAATCCCCTTTATATGAAATGTAGACACCCGGCGTCTAGTGACAGGTAAATGGGTGTGTTTTGTTTTGAAGGATGAGTGAACCTGTCGTGACATAACTGAACAGTTGGGTAGCATAATATCTCGGCATGGTTACTTATGAGCGTGTTTCGGTGTCATTGATCTGGGAGGGTTGGCCACAATATTTCGGCGAATGGATGAATGCACTCAATTTGGCGCGTATGATGCAAGTTCTTTCGATGCGTCGAAATTGTTTAATCTCTTTCGGACGTCAAATGTGATATGTACTGAGCGTCATAAAAAGTATTAATACATTTTATTATTTATAATTTTTATTATTGCATACATACTTCACCTGAAGTATTTCATTATTAAATAACAATTAAATTGAATAAGTTGTATAAAAAAAGAAGGAAAAACAGCATAAACTGTTGCTACGGTAAAAAAACGATTAGTTATAGGGACGTGAGCTTTCAATATCAGGCATGTTTTTGTCAAGAGTTATGTTGTGGACTTCCTTTATAAGTGCGAAGTGGGAAATCATTGCCGGTGATTTTTGTTGAAAAATGTTTGTCCCGGCGATACATTGTTGCGGTAGATTTGAGGAATCTTAAGAAAATGAGACTAGCAGAAGAAACGGCAATTACTATGTGATTACAATTAGAAATGGCATGGGAATGTTTTAATAAATTGTGACGCGTGTTGGTGCGAAATGTGTACAGAAAACTCATATCCTTCGGAATTTGATATTTAGGTTTAGATTTATTTATTTAGTCCACACCAAAAAAAAAAAAAGAGGTAAAACTTGTATGTGACGTATGGGTGAGAAGATCTGCGCACGTTTTCTTGAGTTCCAGAATCCCTGCCCATCATTTTGACTATAAATACTTAAAAGATGAGTAAAATTTTAAAATAAATAAATATAAATTTTCAAAACGCGAGATTAGCAATACTTGAAAAAAATACTTTTCGTTCCCAGTTTATAGAAAACTTACTTGCAACGGTAAACGAATTGCAAGTATGATTTTTCTGCGTGTTAACAAAATAGTATCTCACCCTTACCTCTACTTCTACCATTACAAGCAAAAGGAGAGTTCAACAAAACGTGCGCGTAGTGAAGCTAAATTTACAAAAAAACAAAGGGCAAACTCAGCATTTGCTCAATGGATCGGGGGAAACGACAAAAACCTGTTGGAAATATTAAATTCTCGAACGTTCAAAATGGAGAACAGACACCTTGTTGAACGGAAAAAATGTTTTCATGTATTTTGATAAATTATTGCCTATTAGAGAATTATTTATCACCGTTAATTATTTTCTCCTGTCATCTCTTTTAGATATGTTTGAGCAATGGATTTTTTGTTTCTGCGATTTAGTGCAGCAATATGTCCCTAAAACCCCGACTGAATTATACGAAATAATGCTTTGGAACAGTTAGTTTTCATTTCTCTTGTGAAAAAATTGTTTTAATTAATGTATGTTACTATCTTTATTTTTTCCTTTACAAGGGTCTTTATTTTATTGAAAGATTAAATTAAGCGCATGTAAGCTGCACATTTACGAGTCTGTCATTTTAAGGGGGAAGGGAGGGGGAATTAATCGGTTCAGATAATTGTGTTTAATTTTAAAGTTGTGTAAATCACTATAAGATGGTTACACATT